AGGCCGCCCCTCGGGCCCAGAGCTCACCTCTGTGGATTCACACACAAAGGCCGGTGTTGAAAGTCCCTTCCTTAAGGCAACAGTAGGAGAACCTGGTTCAGAAAAGCCCCTTTCCCACTGCCCTGCAGCCTGCATGGGGCTTCCACGCCCCTCAGGAAAGACGCCTCCTCCTGGGGCAGCAGCAGCCACCAGGGCCCACCCTCCTCCCTCGGCTGGGTCAGCTGTGGGCACGCCGGACTCCCCGGCGCTCTGACCACGGCCGGGCCCCCTGCACTGCCCGCACAGCAGCCTGTGGGCTTCTCCAGGCACGGCGGCCACCCGCCCGTGCCCTCGCTCCCGTCACAGCAAGGACTTCATCTGCTGCTGTTCGGCACCTGCAGAGGCCCCTCTGCTTAATCAGGGCGAGAACCGAAGCGCACGGTGCCTGGCAGGGCCACACCTCCTCTGTGCCACGCTCGCTGTTTCTGGTGAAGGACTCTTTTCCGTTACTCTTGTGACGAATTCCGCTCCTGTTCTTCTGGATGCCAGGGCCACAGGGCTCAAACTAGCAAAGCTCGTCCACTCACGACTGCTCCGGTCGGGAGGTGTCCACCAAACGAGCGCCAGCTGCTGTCCCGGGGAGCGGCCCCGCGCCAGCCCGGGGTGCCCAGGGCCAGGTAAGTGCTCTGAAGGGGGTGCTGAGCGGGGGAGCTGGGAGTGGACGAGGCGCTGAGAGGGGCCCAGGGCAGATGCCGGGGGAGAGAACAGAGGAGGGGTTAGCGAGCACTGTGAGGCCGTGGAGCCCCCCCAAGTCTTTACCTTTTACCCTCATCCAAGGATATGTTTTCACTGATTTTTTTTAGTGAAAGAGGAAGAGACAGACAGAGACATCAATGTGAGAGAAACATCGGTCAGTTGCCTCCTGTACACGCCAACCAGGGACTGAACCCACACCCAGGCATGTGCCCTGGCTGGGAATCAAACCCATAACCTTTTGGTGCATGGACGATGCTCCAGTCTTTCTGTAGGTCCTGACTTCCCAGAAACCCACAGGAGCCAGCCCTCGTCCAGTGAGGTCTCCCAGGAGGAGCACCAAGTCGCAGCCCCGGGAAGGAGGGGCTGGGGCAGTGTGGCTGCCAGGCCCGCTCCCGGGAACCTGTCCGTGGGGCTCCAGTGCGGGGGGACCCCAGCAGGTGGACCTGCCCAGCAGCATTAGCATCTCCTGGGAAAACATCAGAGGTGTACAGCTCTGGGGCCTCGTCCCAGGGCTACCGCAGTAAACCCAGCAGTCTGCCTTCCAACAGCCCCCCGGTTTCTGCTGCCGTCTGCAGTGGAGACACACCTCTGGCCGGGTCTGCTGGTGCCTGGCCGGGTGACAGCTCGTCCCCCGGAATGGCCTAGGGCTGCCAGAGGGTGGTGACGCTGACGGGAGGAAATGCCCCGCAGGGCGCACACTCACGAGGCTGTGCCCCCCGAGGGCTGCCTGGCCCCGGCTCCCTCCAGCTGTAGAGGCTGGACACTGAGGAGGGCTCCCCGCAGGCCCGCTGGGCCTGCCCGGCTCAGCAGGGACGGTGTGACAGGGTCCGAATGTCCTGTGGGCTCACACTGATCAAGTCGTCTGCAGACGGAGGTGCAGATCTGGGGTGAGGATTTGAGGTCGCAGAGACCCCTCCTGGGTGAGGCATCACCACCACCCCTCCCTTTCCCAACATCACAGAGCATGGGGCCGTGGAGTCGTTAGAAGGTGGCTTGGCAGCCCCTTGACCCTCTTCCTGTCCCCTCAGGTCCTCGACTCCCTCGCCTGGCTCTGCGAGACCCACAGAGAAGGGGAGGTGGGAACTCACCCCCAGCCTGAGCAGAGGCCTCCTCACGAGTGTTCTTTACCAGACGGGCTGCCCTGCCCCAAAGTGTGGCCGCCTGGACCCCACGTTTCTGCCCCAGGAGCCGCTGCCAGGCAGGCAGAGGAAGGACAGAAAGCCCAGGGGCCTCCCATCACCGAGGAAGTGAGGAGGGAGGGCGTCGGCCCCCGTGGGCCTGTGTGCGTCACCTCCGCACTGAGCGACCCAGACCCTCCTGTGTCTCAGGGCAGCCATAGCCTCAGGACACGGTGCCCTTGGACACCTCGTGCCAGAAGAACACCCTCGGCCACAGGCTGACCCCAGCGGTCAGGCCTTTGAATCACACAGGCTCACAGGTCGGAGCGCACGACTTGACCTGCAGGCAAAGCCAGCACTGCCGAGGATGAGGATGAGCGAGGGCGGGGTGGGGTTGTCCCCCCCGGGTGGGGTCGTCCCCCCCCACCCCCCCCCGAGCAGACCTGGCTCACCCACCGGCTGCGGCACCTGTCTCCATGGCAGCCCCGCTCACGCCCAACCTCAGACCACCTTGGGACCTGACGGCAGGTGCGCTGGGGGACCCACTCCCGCCCCGTGTGCCTGTCCCGGGGATGCACGGGGCCGCTAACTTCTTAGAGCTACAAGGACAGATGAGCAGTCAGGCTAGTCTGACCCACCAATGAGGTCAACTGCATCTTTTTCTCCCTAAAAAATGAAATTTAACATGTGATTTCAAAGGTCACGTTCTCAGAGTGGGATGTGCACAGTGCCGTGACCTATGTGACATTAGTTCCATGGAGCTTGGTGCTCCCCACAAAGAGCCCGCAAAGCACACACTGAACTTACAACAGCCAACCACAGGCGTGCTGGCCAGGGTTCATCTTACAACAGCCAACCACAGGTGTGCTGGCCAGGGCTCATCTTACAACAGCCAACCACAGGCGTGGGGGCCAGGGCTCGTCTTACAACAGCCAACCACAGGCGTGGGGGCCAGGGCTCGTCTTACAACAGCCAACCACAGGCGTGCTGGCCAGGGCTCATCTTACAACAGCCAACCACAGGCGTGGGGGCCAGGGCTCGTCTTACAACAGCCAACCACAGGCGTGGGGGCCAGGGCTCATCTTACAACAGCCAACCACAGGCGTGGGGGCCAGGGCTCGTCTTACAACAGCCAACCACAGGCGTGCTGGCCAGGGCTCATCTTACAACAGCCAACCACAGGCGTGGGGGCCAGGGCTCGTCTTACAACAGCCAACCACAGGCGTGCTGGCCAGGGCTCGTCTTACAACAGCCAACCACAGGCGTGCTGGCCAGGGCTCGTCTTACAACAGCCAACCACAGGCGTGCTGGCCAGGGCTCGTCTTACAACAGCCAACCACAGGCGTGCTGGCCAGGGCTCGTCTTACAACAGCCAACCACAGGCGTGGGGACCAGGGTTCATCTTACAACAGCCAACCACAGGCCTGGGGGCCAGGGCTCGTCTTACAACAGCCTACCACAGGCGTGCTGGCCAGGGCTCGTCTTACAACAGCCAACCACAGGCCTGGGGGCCAGGGCTCATCTTACAACAGCCAACCACAGGCCTGGGGGCCAGGGCTCGTCTTACAACAGCCAACCACAGGCGTGCTGGCCAGGGCTCGTCTTACAACAGCCAACCACAGGCCTAGGGGCCAGGGCTCGGCTTACAACAGCCAACCACAGGGAAAACAGGTCTCTCCACACTCTGCACTGAAAAGCCTGCATAACAGAGGAGGTCTGTGCATGGCTGGATCCTCCAGGATGTGTCCCCAACCCTTGGGGAGTGATGCTGGACCTGTGCTGCCTTGGGTCCCAAAGACACAGCCGTCTCCTTGGTGGCGGACTGCATGTAGGAGACCTGGGGCCTCTGGGCTGACGCCAGGGCCCTCTGCGCCCCGAGGGCTGCGGCTGGGGCTCTCACTGAACCAGCAAACGTGTGCCGAGAGCCTGTGTGCTGGGCATTCACTGTGGGGCCCAAATGCAACACCTGGGCCTTGTCCTCGAAGTGCTCACCATGTCCTGCCTCTCATTTGGGGAGTCCATTAGGGCCCACGGCTCCAGTGGATGGACATCTACTTCCTTAGGGAAAGGAAACCCTGTTCTAGAAGGAAGACCATCCTCCGTCCCCACGTGCCTCCTTGGCCCAATCCGGGTGGAAGCTGTCGGGCTCCTCGGGGAGACGCGGTATGAAGAAAGCGCCTTCGGTGCCGTCGGTGGAAACATGAGTTTCAGCTAAAGACGTCCGCAAGGCAGTGCCCGGCCCGTGCTCCCCGCCAGAAGCCGGCTGAACAGAGCTGAGCCTCAGCCTCCTTTGGTGTAGCTGGAGGTGGCAATAACCGCATCACAGCACTGCGGGCAGATGTGGGAGGATGTTCTCTGATCCCCACCTGCCACCAGACTAAGCCAAACCTCCCCCTGCGCTGAGGTGGTGGGCGGACCCGGTACTCGGCTACTCCCAGGAAGCCTTGGCAGCCGCAAGTTGCTTTCTCAAAGGCGCTCTGCTCGAAATAGTCTGTTCTGCAACAGCACAGAAGCTCAGTGTCCCTCGGACACTAGCGTCACAGTATCTGAAATTTTCATCCTGACCACCCCATCCACCAACTTCGCATTCGGGAAACGTTCACTCAAGTGACGGACTCCTGCAGACAAGAGTAGAAGCTGTCGGTCTTCAACCCCTATTTAAGTGGGCGTTTTTAAACGGCACGATTCTTTAAGAACTGTAATTTAACGAGAGGGGCTTTCTAAGCAAGACAAGCATGTCACTTCCAGTGTGACTCATCCGCCGTGCGTGGGGGCGGCAGTCACACTGCTAAGACACTGAGCTGCTCGGAGCAGCTGCCCACCAGCCACCAGGGAAAGTCCACGACCACTGGGCGCTGGAGCACCCTCCCCGCTCCAGGCCCCTCGCCCAGACCTCAGGGCCGCGGGCGTTCTCTGTGCTATGGTTGGCCCCCTCCTGCCTGGGCAGTGCTGCGTCTTCCACTGTTCTGATCATGCCCCCTGCTTGTAATAAATGTCCCAGGATGATAACATTGAAAACCGCTGGGCTTTCCTGCTCCGCCCGGTCAGCTGCGTGATGGGGCACAGAGCTGAGCAGAAACCACGCGCACACGCTAGGGGGGGGGGGGATGCCGGGCATGGGGCCCCGAGGCATAAAGAGCAGCTCACACGTTGAGGGGCAGCTGGACTTTGGGGGTCACTCCCTGCGGTTCAGCCGCTGGTTCGAATCCGGCCGAGGAGTCCTGCAAACAGACAAGAAGAGACTGTGAGTGGACAGGACTCCTGCCGGGGAAGGAGGAAGACAGTCCAGCGGGGCCCACGGGCCTCTGTCCTGTCCTCAGGGTCTGTTTGCCTGGGTGTTCGCAACGTTCCTTCCGTGGGCTGGCGAGGGCTGGGGCAGCGGCACCGTGCCCAGCAGCTCTGAGAGCGCCGCAGCCGCTCCGGACGCCTCTCTTTAGCATCCGGTCCGCGGGCGCCCCGCTGTGTCTAACATGGAAGGAGGCAGTTTCTGGACGCCCATCGTTATTCTCAGAACTTGAACTAATTACTCTTGTGTTTGTAAAAAGGAAACCAAGACAAAACCTTTCATGCGACAAAACCTGGGCTTACATAGAAACCGCACTCCCCAGATCCAGAGAGGACTCCCTGCTGGAGGCTGGTCCCGGGGTGGACGGGGGCAGGCTGCCGGGCAGCGGGGCAGGGAGAACGGGTCCCCCACCCCACCCGAGGGGCTCAGCGCTTCGGCTCTCTGTGCGGGGAGATGCCCGCGGGAGCATCGGCCTCAAGGTGGCTCCAGTGCAACCAGGCGCAGCCCAGCCGGCCGGGGGGGGAGGGGGCCGCTAGGGGCCCAGCAGAGGCCGCTGGGCTGTGCAGTACCTCAGCCGGGGGGGGGGGGGGGGGGGGACTAGGGGCCCAGCAGAGGCCACTGGGCGGTGTAGTACCTCAGCCAGGGGGTGGGGGTGGGGGGCGCTCGGGGCCCAGCAGAGGCCGCTGGGCGGTGCAGTACCTCAGCCGGGGTGGGGGGGGCGCTAGGGGCCCAGCAGAGGCCGCTGGGCGGTGCAGTACCTCAGCCAGGCCACGCTGCACAGAGACCCCGGCAGATCCAGCCCATAAGGGACAGCACTGGCCCCCACCTCCTCCCTCCCCAGCTCGCCGTCCCAGCCGCCCCAGCCCCGGTCATCCCTAAGGCAGCACCCTGCCTTCAGATGGCACAATGACGTGAACTGTGTCCCCCAAAGATTCGTCCAAGTTATCGCCCCTGGGGCCTGTGAGGGTGACCTTGGAATAAGGGTCTCTGTAGACAGAAGGCAGGGATCCTAAAATGAGATCACCCTTGATCAGAATGGGCCCTAAATCCAATGGCCAGTGTCCTCATCGAGAGAGAAAAGGAGAACAGGGCACCCGAGGGGAGGAGAGCCGAGTGAAGACGCAGGTAGGGACTGGAGAGGTGCCTGCACCGGCCAAGGGCTGCCGGCCACCACCCGCCGCCTGGGCGGACCCCCTCCGCCTCCCTCAGCCGCCTGCCAACACCTTGGATCTGACTGCGGCTCCAGGACCATGGGACGCTAGCAGCCCAGGGGCCAACGCGGCTCCGCTCACTGACCAGCTCTGCACACGCAGGCGGCCTCCGGCCCCGCGCTCCACCTCCCGCCTCCACCGGCATCGCGAAAGGTGCTGGAAACCAAGCTCACCCACGACCTCTGTGAAGTCAGAAATTCTACGTCCTCTTGTTGATGAAGCCACCATGCCCGGCGGAATGGGAACCCCCCTCATCTCTCTGAGACGCCCCGCGGGCTGAGAGGGCTCCCGCTCGGGCTCCGGCACCTGTGACCCGGCTTCCTTCACAACCTGCCCCAGCGGCCGGTGCACGGACGTGACTTCTGGGGTGCTGTGTGGGGACTGGGCCAAGAGGTGGGGGGCATTCCTTCCGCTGACAGGGTCGGGGGACTTCTGTCTGCCCATCACACCTGCTGAACCTAGGAGGGGAGACGGAGGCCAGAGGTATTCGCATCAAAGCCTGAACTGTTCTCCTTCAAGGGAGTCACTGGTGGGGTTCACCAAGCAGGCCGGGGTCCTCCTCCACAGAGCTGCAGGCCGGGGGTACCTGCTTCCAGACCCTTTCTCCCCGGGGTGCAGGTAGGCACCCCCAGTGCTGGTTTCCGCACAGCTCTCCTTCCCTGGCTAGTCCCTGCCCCCTCTAGGCACGGGCAGGGGGCGCCATGCTGGGGGCGGAAGCCGGGGCAGCAGCACCCGGGGTGCAGCTCATCAGCTGGGCAAGGCCAGGACTGGTGCCTGAGCTGACGAGAAACGTCCCTGGCTCCCCGCGAGCAGCAGAGCAGTGATGGCCGAGCTGTGGGGCTGCTCTGTCTGCAAGGGGCACGCGCCGGGGCCTCACCGCGCGGGGCACGTGCCAGGTCCTCACTGCGCGGGGCACCGCCGGGGCCTCACTGTGCGGGGCACGCGCCAGGGCCTCACTGCGCGGGGCACGCGCCAGGGCCTCACTGCGCGGGGCACGCGCCAGGGCCTCACTGCGCGGGGCACGCGCCAGGGCCTCACTGCGCGGGGCACGCGCCAGGGCCTCACTGCGCGGGGCACGCGCCAGGGCCTCACTGCGCGGGGCACGCGCCAGGGCCTCACTGACGTCTGCCCGCCTGGCTGTCAGCACTGGCTGGGCACAGACACAGCCGCAGACCCCCGGTGGGCTTGCCCGGGGAGGACGAGCATTCGACGTGCCATGACAGACACGGGGAACACACCACAGGGACCTCACCTGCGGGCGTGGCCAGAAAGGCTTCCTTCTGAGAAGGGGAGGGCCCGCTGGGTGAGGTGGCGAGGGTCAGGGCAGGCGAAGAAGGGGCAGAGCGGTCTGCCCAGCAAGTCTGAGAAGTGAAAGGAAAGGCGGGCGATGAGGGAGAGCCCTCGGTGGTGCGGCGCCGTCCAGGCGAGGCCTCCGAGCCCCTGCAGGCTCTGGTCTTCACTTTGAGGGCGGAGAGGCCCTGGAAGGCCGGCAGGAGAAAGACACAGGGTCAAACCCATGACCAGGAGGGACCTGTTGAGAAGGTTGGTGTGGACCAGGGGCTGGACATGGGCAGGAAGTCGCGGGTAAGGACGGAGCAGCAGCAGTAACAACCTCTCCCTGGCATCCAGCCTGTCCACACAGCAACGCAGCCTGGCAGTGAGTCCTTGGCTCCCTCTGGGCGACCTTGGACAGGCAAGGTCGCGGGGCCTCAGCTATCCCTGGCCGAGACCGGAGTCAGGGACTTCGATTCACAGCTACAATATAGCAACAGGGACTGAATTTCCCTCCCACCGAACACAATGGGAAAACTAGGGCAAACAGGCAACTCCGTGGTTCCCAAAAATTTGGAAGTTAATACAGAACGGATTGATAGCCTGAGAGATGAGAACACGGGGTCCTGAAGGAGCCCATCCTCTGTGTGAGCCGGAATGTTAAATGAGATCATTCATTCAAGCCTCCATAAATGCTGGCCATCATTACTGAGCCTGGCGGGCGGGGGCTGACTCGGCCTGAGGGGAGTGAGGGCCAAGGACTCTAGAGGCTCCCCGAGGCTCAGCCCCAGACACCACAGGACAGGGAGGAGGACCGACGGGGGGCAGAGAAAGAGCCAGAAGCACTGGGCCTCCGGGTCTAGCGGGCGGTCTCCACGGGGAAGCAGTTGCCAAGCACTCCGGGAGCCAGGTGCAGTGCAGACCGAGGAGCCTCCGTTTTGGGGGTACAGACGCGCACCGCACACCTGTTTGGGCTGGCAGTGCCGTTACAAATGAGCACTAAATCATGTGAACAGGTAGAAGGAAGGTTCAGCTGGGGATTTCCCCGCAGAACTATGTACAATACGGAGAATGTGGCGCAGCCCCAAGGCCACACAGCAGGGGCCGCAGCGCACAGCGGAAGGCACCCCAGGGAGGCAGCTGTGCGAGGTACGCCGGGAAGGGGCTGCAGAGCGGGTATGCAGGAGCACCTCACTTCTGTAAAAGCGCATGTGTTTCCAGGGAAAAGCTCAGGAAATCTATATACCAAATGATACCATTGGTACTAGGGAGCTTGGATTTGGGATAATTTTTAAAAAATCTATGTGTTCACATTTTTCATCATTTTTATACCCACAAGCAACAATGAGTTCCTGATACATTGTCCAAGTCATGAAAAGAGTAAGAAGTTTAAATTATTAGAGGTATGTTTGAAGATCAAGCTGGTGGATGGTGACCCGTGTTTCCCTGGATCCCACACGGGGCATCTTTGTGGGGATGCCAGCAGCAGACAGGAGAGACCATGGGGTGACCCTGGGGGTCGGCTGCTCTGTGGACCAAGTCCAGACTGCAGGAAGATTGCAGGCAGAGGCCGTTGGCTGGGCACCGAGCAGAGCAGACACACAGAAGGACCACGAACCCATGACTCTGTGCAAACAAACTCCTGGAGCAGCCCACCCAGCCCAAACCGGCCCCACAGACGCAGAGCACCAGGGCCTACTCTGAGACCTGCTGTGACCGGGAGGCATGGGGTCCCCAGCTCCCAGTGCCCTCGGGCCCCTCCATGATGCCAGTGGCCAGGACAGTCAGAGAAGACAGGTCTGTCTGTCCCGCGGAGGGAGAGGCTGGCGGACCCTGTGCACTGGACCGGACGTGTGGCCTCAGGTTCAGGAACAAACCCATCTTTGCCAGCATCTGCCACCTCCCTGGGTGAGCAGAGCACAGAACAGTCCCACAGGCAGGTGTCAGGAGGAAGCACGAGGACGGGAGGGGCTGCCCAGGCACATAGGTGGCAGGGGTCGAAGGGCCGCCCTGAGGGGGCAGCACCTACAGGGAGCCACGGGGCAGGGCATTCTGGCCTCTGCCGGAGACCTGGCCTCCGCCGACGCCGGCAGGACACACACTACAAAGCGGGTCCATGGATTTCAGACTGGAAACCTGGCCTCCGCCGACGCCGGCAGGACACACACTACAAAGCGGGTCCGTGGACTTCAGACTGGAAACCTGGCCTCCGCCGACGCTCGGCAGGACACACACTACAAAGCGGGTCCGTGGACTTCAGACTATTACTCAGAGCTGGGATGGGGTGCAGACGGGGTCCACCCTTGTGAAAACTGTTCTGCTGAAGGTCAAGATGGAGAATATCTAACACTGACCGTGGGCTGAGCACGCGGGCCCGCCCCACCCCCGTGCACCGTGGTGCAAAGCCCAGGGGACCCCGTGTGATTCCTGACGCAGAGGGGGCCGCCCTCCT